ATACCACGTCAGCTGTTTCAGTTAAGTTAACGTGCCACGTGAGCAAAATTTAACGGAAGGACTAAAAAGGGGCCGGATTTGTGAACAGTAAGGACTAAAAAGGGGATTTTTTTGGTACAGGACTAAAAAGGGGCTTTTTCCTATAGTAGAGGGACCAAAAAGGGTATTTAACCAATAGTTAACGGGAGGAAGATCCCTCGCACAAAAATAAACAGTAACTCTAACTTTCCTCCTTCTCAGAGGTATTTTTTCGATATTTTTCCCTTGGTTCTCCCATTCTCCCTTCCCTTATACAAAAATATTTATTTAGTTTCCTTTTTAATCCTTGAACCTGGCTCTTCTTTTTACTTTCAGTAGGGGTGAAGTGGGTATTTAATGTCTAAGTGTATTAATCCCTTACATCTCATTGCAAAATCCACTTTATTGAGTTTGGTTTTTGGTATTTTTGAGTCAAAATATTGCTGCTTTGTTCAATCGTATTCCAATACTAGATAGTACTAGTGCCCTCGCACGGGACATACAATTAATTAACTTATATTTTTAATTTTTATGAATTTTATTTTTTATATAAGATATTATTTATTTTTAAAAATTAAATATAAATTAAAAGCAACAATTAAATATATTTGTGTAATTTTTTAATATATATCAATGTTTTCTAGTAAAAATTTATGAAAAAACTTTTTATCTATACTCAAATTTATTTTCACACATTAATTTAGAGCATCATTTACATTTTTAAATAAATAAAAGGATTTCAATAATACTAAAAATTAAGAAAATAAACAATTTATAATATATTTGGATTGAGTGAAATAGAGGTGCAACATCCCAAATCCCACATCGGTGAGGATTTGTGAGTAAACTCAGTATATAATTGTAGAAATCAATTACTACTAATAACTTTAATTTTTAGAGTCCATGAACTTTAACTCAAAGAGTTGTTAGGTCAATGGCAAATTTAGACTAGAGTCAAGGAAAGATCTTTTAACTAATCAAATTATAATGTCTTTTAAATATTACAATATAATTAGTCAAAAAATCTTCCCTTTCCCTCAACCTAAACATACTATTAACTAAACATTTGAAATAAGAATAAGAAATATTAATGTATTGAAAAAGAAGAAGATACTATTTATCTTTTTTTCTTCTTCTTTTTGGGAAAAAAAATGAAAAAATTATATTAATACAACAAAAGAGAGTTTGTTAGGGTAGTTTGAGAAAGTGAACCCCTAGTACCTAAACATAATAAAATGTAACCACAATAGATGAACATTTATCAAAAACAACAAAAGTTAAAGAAATTGATGATCCCATCTTGAGAAATTGGTTAATACATATATGGCTATCCATATCGACATGTTACAATGTTGAGCTAGAACAAAATTCCTCCTCATGAGTTTTTTGCAATTCAAAACATTAGAAACATTGGCAAACAATAAATGAATAGCATAAATAGAGTTGGACTCAATGTTAATTTTTAAAACATCCCTTGATAAAAATAAAGTTAGAAGTTATCTTCTATGAAGCTTAATGCTTACTTTATTAGTGATGCCTATATTCCTAGCAAACCCCATAATGTAATTATCATTATGATCTTTGAAGATCCCTCCTCTACCAATACGTTTGAAAGACGCAGGCCCCTTAGTATTAATGTTTAACAAAATATAAATGAGGTTTATGTCAACAAAATATACCAAGTTACTAATTAGATAAATCAGACTAAATAAGAAAAATAAACTAAAATTTAATAGTTTTATAAATAATAAGAGAAAGTCATTTAGAATATTGAAAATAAGAATCCTCATTAACCTTGTCATTCTTTTGTTACTAAATTTCCCAAATAATGAATAAAAAAAAAGGCAATCCATGGAATTTTGAAATAAAAGAATCATCCATACATTTATCCCATATTTGGTTTAAGGGAAACAAAGTCCCCTCATCTCAATTTGGTTAGACTAAAATGCAAAATAATAATAACAACAACAACAACAATAATAATAATAATAATAAGAAAAAAACCCTCACTTCTCCTCATTTCCCCTCCAATTTTTTAAATTCTCAATCAGTATAAACATTTTAATTGTTAGCTTAGGAATATTAGCAATGGTAGTAAAGCCCCACATGATCAAAGAGCAGTCCTCATCCCCATGGTGATTTTTTTAAGGAGAAAAAAAAAATCTTCCGTAATCTCAATTTATAATAATTTATAAAAATTTACCATATGATTTCTTTTTTATAATATTAAATGGCAAATGTGTTGAGTAGTTAAGTTAGACTTGAATGGCATAATGAATATTGGGTTTTGTCATTAAAATGAATGATAAATTAAGTAAAAATATTTGAAATTTGTTGAAGTGTGAGTTGAACTTAATTTACAATAATTTATATAAAAATTATTGCATTCTTAAGGGTATATTAAATGGGGCCCATAACAGGAAAGGAAAAATTGCTACCTTTAAATAATATATTTGGTTGGAAGGAAATGGATGAAAGAGAACAAATGAAGTTTTTCTTTTCACTTTTTTAGGAAACCCTCTCCCCATATAATGAGAGGCAATCCCTTTTCATCCATGATCTACTTAGGTTGTTGGCAAAAAGGATACGTTTTATAACCAATCAAATTATAATAATTTCAAATATTATAATCTGATTGGTTGACAAATCCATCACTCCCCATCCTTCAAACCAACCACACCCTTAATAGAGATTTTCAAATCCTAAAGCCAAAAAATATTTTCGTGTAAAAGTTATGTTTCTTAAATAATTGCAAATCTTCTTTAAACTAAAACATTAAACTAGAATATTACTATCAAAATATTAAATATTAAGGAGTGTATCTCTGAATTGGAACTAATTTAAAACTTATTGAAAATAATTAAAATAGACCAAAATAAATATAAAATATTAGATATGACATAAATAAGGAAAAAAACATTATTCTAAAAGGAAACAAAAAAAAATACTCTATCAAAAATCAAATATAATATCCATCAATATAACACAACTCATAAAGTAATATAAGAGTATAATATAAAATGCATGCTTCATTATGGATTCTAAAGTGCTAAAGCATGTAAATTATTAATAAGTAAATATATGTCCAAATATAAGAAAGAACGTAGAAGTAAATATCTTTAAAAAAATTAAAAAAATAAAATTAAGAAAAAACTAAAAAAGAGAGAGAAATTTAAATGTCACCTAAAAATACAATGGTTCTAAATTGATAAAAAAATAAAATATTAAATCCTTGTCCAAATTTAAATCTTAAAACTCAAAAGCATAAATTTTAAAATTTGAACCTTTAAATTTTTATTATTGAACTCTAAAATTTTAAAATTCAAAACTCTAAAATTTATATTTCTAATTCATATTTATATCTTAAATATTAAAACATAAAATTATTCTTCCCAAATTCTAAAAAATCAGGCTTAAAAATAATAAATGTTTAATTTGAAAAGTAATATAGTAAAAAAATTCAATAGTTTTTCTTTTATTATTATGAATTAAATATTTTAATATACACTTTCCTTATATAATTTTGTCCAAATAATCTATTATTAATTTTTTATTCAAAAAGATATTTACATTAACAAAAAGTAATAAAAAATATATACTAAGGGTATTGTAATCAAGTGGCATTAATTAGCCTTGTAGATTTGAAAAAAAAATTTCCATAATTTTTTGCTATGACAACAACAACAATATATAAGAAATACCCCATTGTGGAAAAAGTTACTAAATAAGAAAAGTTTCGCTGTGTATCAAAAGAATCACAAATTAAAGATTGCATAAAAATTTGGCACATGACATGATTTTTTTTCATTAGTTTCTCCCTTAATATATAGATAAATATAAAATAGATTTCTAACGCAACATGACCAAATAGTGAGCCAAACAAAAAAAAAAAAGCCGAATAGAAGATGCCTGAAATCTTATCAAATCTAATACAATTAACTGAATATAACTTAGAATTAAAAAGGAAATAAGTACAATTTTATAAAATGATATTAATAAAACCTAAATAATAAAGCATAAAAGGGATGGGGTTATTATTACACCGTAAATAGTTAATACCACATCATTTTAATGTAATTATCTATTATACTTTTACATTACATTTTTTTTCAAAATTCTACATTTTTTGTTTCTTAATAAATTAAAAGGTTTAATAGTCAATTAAAATAAAAAGATGTAGCATTAATAATTGAGGGCATGACAATAACATCATCACATAAGAGGGAGAACATAGGACTTTTTTATGCTCCGCTTTATATGCATCTAAGTTCAAGACTTTTTTGCTGATATTATCATTTTTTCATACCTAACTCTCTCCACGTGAGTAGCTCTAATATTATTAAAAAAAATAATTCACACTTTCTTTAATTTTACAAATATCATATAATCACTATTCAAATTTTATGAAATGGTATTAATAAAACTTAAAAGACATAGCATAAAAGGGGTGGATTATTATCACACCTTAAATAATTAATACCATATCATTTTAATATAATTACCTATTTTACCCCTATTTTACATTCTTTCTCAAAAATCTATATTTTTTTGTTTCTTAATAAATTAAAGTGTATAATAGTCAATTAAAATAAAAGATATAATATTAATAATTGAGGGTGTCACAATAACATCACCCACAAGGGGAGAAAAGAAGACTTCTATATACTCAGTTTTGTATGCATCTAAGTTCAAGACTGTTCTATTAATATTGTTGTTTTTTCATGTCTAGCTCTCTCTCCACATGAGTAGCTTTAATATTGTTGAAAAAAAAAAAAAAGCTTCACACTTTCTTTAATTTTACAAATATCATATAATCACTATTTAAATTTAAATATTATTGTATTAATTATTATTAGTTGTTAATTACTTAAAAAAAGGAAATGGAAATGTTGTAAGAAATAGCTAGAGAAAGAGAGAAAAAAATGTTCCAGGTGTTCATGGAGAAAAAAGTGTAGCCAACAAAATGTACTATACAATTTAAATATCTGGTTGTAATATATTAATTGATCGTAGAACAATTCATTAAATAGTATGATTTTTTTTTCTACTTTTTTTACTTTAGTAATAATAGTAATCACATTTAAAAAGAATTCAAAAGAAAAAAATTTACCCAAAAGGAAAATTAGGTCACGTGTCAAAAAAAGAGTAAATTAAGAGAGGCAAATGAATGTGTTGTGTGGCAAACTTTCCCTCAATCATTTCTCCTTTATAATATATATAGATTCAATTGTTTCCCTTCTTATGCTTGCCTTTGGAATTGTAATTAGATTGTGGATTGTAAAAAAGCTAACATGGGAGAGCAAATTTAGAATCTAGACAAAATTGAATCTCTGACAAGTCAAAATGAAAAGGCTTAAGCCAACATTTTTGCTTCTTTCTTATTCTCTCTACTTCTCTTACCGTGCTTGAATCATGTTTTCCCCAAACAATGAGATCTAAAAGAGATGACAAAGTTATTGGATTATGAAGATTAAGGCGAGTAAGTGGATAATGGGTGATGAGAAGAAGCTAAGAGGGAGATGCTATGCTAAGATTATGCCTAAATGAATGTTAAAGAGGTGACAATTCTTTTCATCACTGTTTCTGCAAATTTCTTTTATTTTCTTTTATTTCCCATTATTATTTTCCTAAATCAAACTGACAATGTCCATGTTGGACTAGAAGCACCACACGCTTATCCAAGCATTGTTGACTCCTAGACCTTTGATAGAGGAGTTCCACTTTGTTTTCACTAGCATCAACTCCCTAAACTTAGGTTCTCTTTATTTTGAAGTTTTTTTACCTTTCTACTTTTTTTATGGGTCTCTTATTTTTTTCTTTTGATTCTGATTTTTTCTTTTTAAATTTAGTAATTTTTGTTGATAAAGTTATTTGATATTTCTATGATACTTTTTGTTGAAACTTAAAATCAAAGATGAAGTAGTTATTATATTTACAATTAAATCAATGGTATCACTTATGTTGGAGTTGTTTTCACTTCAACTTGGGCAACTTAGTTGGGGGATTAAAGGTGAAGAAATGAGTGTAGCAGGGGAGGGTGAGGGTAGAATTTTACCATTATAATAATAATAATCACCACAACAGGGTGGAAACCCATATAATGCCACAAAAGTATTTGCTTGATCTTTTGATCAAACCTATGTGCAACTTACCTAAGGTTGAGTTGGGAAAGTTGTACATGAATTGCTTAATCTATTTACCCATGCTCTTTAACATGATTGGGAAAGTTTTAATGTTTTAATAATAGTAAATGAGTTTTACAAAGGTATGTTTAAATTAACAAGATGAATTTTGATTGAGAAGTGCCTTAGGAAGCTAATGTTTGGATGTTAGTTGTATGAGAGAATCAAGTTTTTATCGTTGATTATTATCATTTTTGTAGTTATTGAATCACTTAATCGATTTACCCATTTACGCATATTCTTTAACGTGGTTAGTATGTTTGATGTGAGTGACCATCTAGAACATTTTAATAATAGCAAATGAGTTATACAAAAGTATGTTTGGATGAACATGATGAATTTTGATTAAGAAGTGCCTTAGGAAGCTAATGTTTGGATGTTAGTTGTATGAGAGAGTTAAGTTTTTGTGGTTGATTATTATCATTTTTGTAGTTATTGAATCGCTTAATCTATTTACCCATACTCTTTAACGTGGTTAGTATATTCAATGTAAGTGACCATCTAGAACTATTTAAGGCAATCATTACTGTAATATAGTGGTTGTAGCTAGAGGTATTGATCCCTATTCTTTTGTGGATCTTCTTTTTATTCTCAAAGTTTATCCAAGTTCTTTCGCATTGTGGGCTTTGGCTTTTAGGCCTCTTATATATCGAGAGTGATGACATAAAATTAAAAACAACAAATGAGTAATTATGTTTCATTTTCTGTTGCAAGAAATCAATTAGCTATTAAGGGTTAAACTAACATAATGGACTAGCCTTGACAGTGTTTTATGAGTCTATGGTTGATACACCTTATGCAATGTGAAAATGTGTCTTAGGCAATATCAAAGAAATGGAAATTTTATGTAAGAGATGCATTATATTGGATACTCAATTGAACAATTTGACTGTGTGTGATTGAAAGCTCCAAACTTTGACCATAAATATGTGAGGATTTTATTTTGTTTATTATTGTATACTCAATTGAGTCATTCTTCCTATCTCATTCTTTCATCTCTTGCTCTCTTTTTTTTCTTTACTTTTTTTTTTTTAACAAAATCAGGAAGATAGAAATCCATGCAATCTAAAACCTTTAAAACTAAGCCTATGCTACATTATTGAAAACTTTACAAACCCTAATACTTATGTGTTCATTTAAGATTGGCCCATTCAATGTTGGCTCATTCAAAGTTAGACCAGACTCCACACCCTACAATGTGGGCTTGTCCAATTGGTTCAATAACAAATTTAGTAACAACGACAAGCTCCATGTATAACTCACTAATCATCTAGGTTGCCATTAAACATCTTCTTGAATCGTGCCACCTTCAATGTTATAACCATAAGGATCCAGTGTTTGACATCATCCACCCATTGAAAATAAGCATATCTCCAGCTTTTCACAAAAATCAAAGTTCCCACGACTCCCCAAAATCCAATTGCAAAGCCAGACATTACAATAATGTAAAACCACATTCTTTTAAGTGCACCTTCATTGTTGTCCTTGAAGGTGGAGGTTATTGGAGGCAACACATCATTTGAGCATTTCTTTAGGAGTGGAGCTCCACAGAGTTGAGGATTGCCAATGTAAATAGTTGGATCTTCGAGTGTTTGGAGCTGATAGCCTGTTGGAATTGGGCCTAACAAGTTGTTGTAGGACAAATTGAGGTGGCTTAACTTAGTTAAATTTGACATGCTCTTTGGGATCATTCCTGAAAGGCCATTTTGGGAGAAATCGAGAGATTCCAAATTCTCCATTTGTCCAATTTTCTCAGGGATCGTTCCTAAGAGATGATTCCAAGATAAATTCAAATTGTGCAAATCTTTAAGGAAAATTAGCTCTTCTGGTATGGATTCTATTAGATTGTTACTTGAAAGATCTATACTGCACTCGAGTCCTAGGGTTTTTCCTGTATACTCAAGGTATCTCCCTTTCACAACCATCATCAAATGCGTCCAATACCAATATGCCAAATCCATGGCGTTGATCAATTGTGTTGCATTCACCATAATTGGGAACTTTCCAAAACAAGGAGGAATCCTTCCTATCAAATTGTTATCTGCAAGATCCAAAATTTGTAATTGAGAGAGAGAGCACAATTCCGAAGGAATATGACCAGAAACCAAATTTGTTCGTAGTCGGAGAATTTTTAAAGAGTGGTTGCTGATCTGGCCCCTTACAATGCTTGTTAAATTTTCAAAAAATTCATTCTCGCCCAAATCCAGAATCATTAAAGAAGATAAGTTTTTCAAGGCCAGATGTAGTTCCCCATAGAGACTATTGTTGTTCAAGTGTAGTGCTAATAAAGAAGAAAGTTGCCCCATTGTGCTCGGAAATAAACCTGAGAGATTGTTAGAAGATAGATCAATAAAAGTGAATGATTGATCATTTCTCCAACAATTAGGAATACTTCCGGAAAACATATTGTTTGAGAGGTCAAGATGTGTCAAAGATTTTGAATTGCATAACGACTTTGGAATTGAACCATTCATGAGGTTATTTGTAAGGTGTAATGCTTGCAACACTGGTATCATATGACCAATGTTTTCTGGAAGAGGACCAGACATGTTAACATTAGAGAGATCAATTACACTTATTGTCTTTGGCAATAGAAGCCATTCAGGAAATCTTATTCCAAATTGATTGCCAGAAAGATATATACTCTCTAACTTAGAAAGTTGCCCGATGCTATCTGGAATACTCCCACTCAATTGATTGCCAGCAAGATCTATGCTCTCTAACTTAGAAAGTTGCCCAATGCTATCTGGAATACTCCCACT